CCCCTCCCTCCCTCCCCCCCTCCGTCCTCGCCTTTCCCGCCTCACCCACCCATCACCCACATGGATGCTGGTCCAGTAGATGGGATGTGTTTGATGATAGACCGTTGCGAAGTGTTGGTCGTGGTATGGGCAGCGACGACGGCCATTTCGCAGCTGGTTCATGACGCTCCCGCAGACGAAGCACTGACGGCCACGCTGCTCGCGGCCACCACCTCTGCCGGATCCACCACCTCGGCCGCCACGGAAGCATATGGGCGCCATCTTTCAATTGTGCAAGACGAAAAGAGCGATGAGGGACGGACACAACAACGAGGAAGCAAGAATGCCAACCGAGATCCTCAGTGCTTCGGAAGAGCGCGACGCGCTGGACGTACTGGACATGTGGTCGTAATTGCGGGTCCAGTCGCGGCCGTAATTCGAGGTCCCGCCACCGCAACACCAATGAAAAGCTGGCCCGGAAAACGCTGGAAAGGGCGATTCGTGGAAGCGTCTTGTGCCAGCGGCCGCTACAGCATCGCTATCTGCTCTTTCGATTGAGTTCAATCCCCTCTGATTCAATGTCAAGCTCGCATCCTGAAGCTGCGTCCGCGCCTCGGAGTCCCCAACGCGGCGATGACAGCTCTCGTGTGATTGACCACTTGATCGCCATCGTTCAGGTGCTCTAAGGCAGCAGGCTTCCCACACGGCATTTGGCAATGTCAAACTGGGCAATTTTCGTTTGCAGAAAGAGATGCAAACGAACAAACAGGGTGCAGCAAGGCGTGCAGGGTCCCTCCCTCCAACCCCGTCGTCTACACGACCAACGAGTCAACGATCCTCACAGATAACCCTGGCAATTCGACACACCAGTTGCTCTGAGAACCAACAGGCTAAGCCTTACACTTGTGTGTCTGCAGGTGATGCGTCGGAGGAAAGAGGAGGTCTCTATCGAAGAGCGGCTGCGCTTGGTGGAACAATTCAACCAGCGCAAGCAGAGCGGAGAGAAGATCACAGCAGACGACTTCGCAAGAGAGAAGCGCTTGCCGCCCTACCTTTTCGCAAACTGGCTCAGAGGCGCCAAGCGGCAGGAAGAGAAGCAGAGGGAGGGCGGCATGCCATTCATCGACCCGACCAAGAAACGCCATACACCGCCCAAGTACCAGCAGATCGAGAACGAGATGCGGCAGTGGATGGCCACCCATGACAACCCAACAAGTGTCCCTACAGAGGACATCCGTGCCATGGCGATGGAGATCGCCAGTCGGCTGGACATCATTGGCTTCAAGGGGACCAAGTCATGGGTCAAAGCCTTCAGGAAGCGATGCCAGCAGGTGGGAAGACGGCGAGTCAGTCCCACAGGTCCAGGGTTCATCGATCCCTCATTGTCTGCGTGCCCCTCTCTCTTCAGAATCCTCCCGGGCCGTCTGCCTCACCTGCATCATCCCTTGCTGACACTACCAATGATATGCAGGTAGACAGACAGAGCGCCCGCAGTGAGAGATTCGCCTTTCGACGATTCATGTTTACCCTCTCAGGGTCCTTTGCCGTCTTCGGAGCCACCTGTCGCTGCGGCAAGCACTGACGGTAACACCGAGTCTCCCCCAGTACCGCCACGAAAAGGCGACAGCGTCAGCGACCAGCAGGTAGGAAACGAAACAACACGTGACGTACGACAATTCGCGTAGTTCTTCCATGTGTCTTTTCCCCTGCTGCCTGCAGAGTCAAGTGGTTGACGAGTCAGCTGCGTTGCGAGAAGCAGACGGATTCATTGGACGCAACAACGATCTCAGCCGCCAGGTACTCAGACGCAACAGAAGTGACGAGATGACCACTGAGGGAACTTGCTCTTCGGTTGACTGCAGACCACCATCTGGCCACCAGACGACGATGCTGCTGCTGCCAGCGATCGGCCACTCGACCAACAGTCGCAGCCATCAGAGCACGACACCATGGGCGTAAGTAAACCAAGAGGGCTCACCTGTAGCGGCTTGTTTGAGCTGTCTGTGTTGCCATTCAGAAGGCGCCGTCAGAGAGCCGCCTGACCAACGAGAGGCCGCCGAACAAGATTCGTAGGAGCGACACACGCAGCTGCCGAGAGGGCTTGCCATCTGAGGTCAGTGAAACGCAATCAAATGAATACCCACACAGACGGGGAGGCATTCTGAGTGTGTGTGTGCAGTTGTGGTCTGGTAATTCGGTCAAGTCGGCAGTCACACCGACTGCTGACGGTCGCCTCAGTGACATCCCAGAGGTCAAACAGATACAAGGAGGCCTATCGACTGCTTTAGGACGCATCCCATTCTCTATGATGTGTCATCAGGAGAATGATGGTGGTGACATGCTCAGTGTGTCTGACGATGCAAGTACTCATGTCACGGCCGTCTCAACTCACAGCGCGACGAGCGGAGACGACCGATCGCCCGACCCTCAAGTGAGAGTCTGCACATGGCATGATTGCGTCCACATCAGAATTAAGAATGCACAACAGTCTCCAAGACCCGCGTCTGTCTGCGTGCAGGTCATCGTTGGCAGCAGCATGAGTCCGGCAGAGTGCAAGGGCCTCTACTCTCTATTCGTGCCATCCATCTTCGACCAATGCAGTTTCACACTGTTGTACAGGTACACAAGACAGAGCGACCCAAGTCAGAGGCACCGAATTGGACGTTTTTGTCGCTTTATGGTCTTGTCATTAGGGCCTCTGCCAATGGTGAAGACTATGTCGACGTGCTCCGCTGTGTCGGCAATGCTAGCCCCCTCGTGATCGTCATCCGCAACGGTCACCATTGCTTTGGCATCTACATCAAAGACGGCATCAAGCTGCATCGAGACCCAAGCCAAGCCAACCTGTACACGTGCGATGTGTGGCGCTTTTCTTTCGCCAACCACTTGGGCAGGATCAGAATCATCAAGCAAGGCCGAGAATTTGTGTTTGCGGCTGGGCGGGAGCCTCAGAGGGCAGTGAAGGAGGGAGTGGATGGGGCGGCAAAGCTGATGGTCGGCTGGAGAGATGGCCTTTGTTTGGGCTGGAGTGAGCACGATCGCTGTGCAAGCATCCGTAGCTGCCGTCAGATTATCCAGGCGCGCCGTTCGGATAGCATTCTGGCTGACGAGTTGGAGATCATTGGTGTTGATGGCATTTCATTCCCGCCACCGCAGGTCAGACAAGGGACAAAATAAAATGTCGCGTGGTACCGTTACTTGTTGTGTGCGCTGTGCGTGCCTTCCCTCCCTTCAGACGATCGAGGGCAGCAAGCTGTGTGCGTTGGAGTCTGCGGCACTCACCTGCTGCCTCAGGGTGCCGGAATCAGGCAGTCGGAAGCTTCTATACAGGTAGACTCCATCTTACCTCTCTATCTCTTGGGTGATCGCGTCATTGCCACTGTTCTCCTTTCCAGGGCCTCTCGTGATGGTGGCCGTTTTGGAGATTTGCTCCGCTGTGTGGGCGGTGCGAGCGGCCTTGCCATTGTTATCCGCAAGGACCGCTTTGTGTTCGGCGCGTACATCAATGACGGCGTCCGGCTGCCAGACGGCCCCACGCAATCCAGCCGATTTGGATGTTATGTACAGCATTTCTCTCTTAGCGGCCATTTCGACAATCCAACGACAATTTATGAAGGGTGCCAGTCCGTCCGTCTGGCCGGGCGGGACGCGGCGCTGATACTGAAGATCGGCTTGGCTGGTGGTCTATTTGTCGGTTGTGGAGTACACGACAATGCCTTGGATGCTGACGTGCGCAGCTGCCGTCACTTTGTCGACGGATGTGATGCGCCTGTTGGCTACAAGGGGGTGAAGGATACGCAACCTGGATGGCTTTTCTTTTGGTGGCAGCGAAGAGTTTGAGGCCGATGACGTGGAGGTCATTCAGATAAGCGGCGGCCATCAGTCTATCCCCAGACGTCGCGCGCGGCCGCTTTTCGATATGGAAGACATGGAAGATGACCACATTAAATGGACATCCCAGGGCCTCATTCCAGTGCGTCAGGAGGTGATAGATATAAACGATATCAGCGCTTCATGTTACGCACACGTTCGTGCTCTTTGAATTGTTTGTGCCACATATTTCCAGAAGACCATTCGTCTCGCTGAGTAGGAGAAGAGGCTAGGTGTGATTGAGGGGCTGCTGCTAACAATCGGGACCGATCTCGACGATAGTGCGCGGCGCCTCAGCGACAAGTTTACTAAGTACGTGGCGTACAAGGACTCGCTAATGCAAGAGATCGGTATGCATACATGGCACAAACACATGGCCGACCGGCTGGCAACCTAAGATGTGGCAACGCTTTCCTCTGGCTGCGTATGTCTGTGTGTTTCAGACGTGCTACAAAAGAGCATCGGCCACACATTGCCGGAGGGTATGCAGCACACATTCCCTCAGGCCGTGCAAAGGATTGAACATGGTGCAGAGGTGCTGTATAAGGCCTATCGGCAGTGTAATTCCACTTCCAAGAGCGGAGGCCGCTGCAGCGTACATACCATACGCCAGGCGTGTGAATTGAACGATCAGTTCCAAGCGATGTCCAAAGAGCCTGCCGGCAGGTAAGCACGCCGAAAAACGAGACAATATGAGGCTGAGCAAGGAGTTGTGTTCACTCGCTTGCAGGCGACCAGGAGCTGTCTACTGCAGCCTGCTCACCCCTTCACCGTTCGACCTACCTGACCACCCGATGGGGCGAGCGGATTTCTTGCTACTGCACTCTACAATTCCTGGCTCTATCCCTGTAATCTTTCAGATCCCGCAGCAGATTGTATGACCTGTGCAGATTGCCAGGATGAGGCGAGCAGTGTGTGTTGCTTATGAGTCTGAAAAGGGTACGTTGGAGAGAGTGGGGCCGAGAGGCCGACGGACCGCTTGGGTGACGAGCAGTGTCGGCCGAGAGGTGCTGGCTGACATGATGTGGAACTAGAGGAAGGAGGGGGCGGGGGCTTAATGAGACAAGGGGGATATATGGATGGATGGATGGATGCATGGACGTTGGGACCTGTCTGAGGACATTTGCATCCATCCGCACCCACACACTTCAATAATTCTCTTCTCGCATTGGTTGGTCATTGACCAAACATGCAACACCACATCATCACACGACATGAAGGAAGTCACGCCGGTGTCTGTCCACAAAAGCCATCACATCCATCAGTCAGTCAGCGGTCACCATCGACACACCGATAAATAGCAAGCCGCACGCACCCTCCCCTCCCCTCCCCCTTGACGAAAGCAAAGCCATCACCACCAGCAGCTGTCGCACACCCCCAAACACACATCTATTACTGGAAAAGGAGAAATGGCGAGGAGGCTCATGCAGTGAATTCCACCCATCCATCCATCAAAAGCATCCATAACACCAGCACCCACACCAGGTAGCATGCAGAGAGACGTAGAGAGAGAGAGGAAAATGGCGCGTGCACCGGGCAGGGCGCGTGTGTGTCTGGTGCACCGTAACAGCAGCACTGGAGAGTTTGTATCAACACATAAGGTCGGTTTACAGCAGCAGCAGCAGCAGCGATACTTGCACTCAGTCGCTCGCTGACGCGATCGGCCCATGCCAGCCATGGATGGGATGGCTACCTGTACATAATATATCGATACGATACAAAAGCCCCCTGGCCTCCATTGGCCTGGCGCGAGTGGGGGGCCGGCGAGCTCAAAAAAGGACTCGGTCAAGGCAAGGCAAGGCATCATTCTCAGTCAGTCAATCAATCACCCACACCCACACCCACACCCACACCCACGCACACACCCACGCACACACCCACGCACACATGCAGCACGCTCGCCATGGCGTGCATCCATATGTCACGTACGTCACGTCACTTGGGTAACACCCAGGAACCAAAGAGAGAAAGGAAAGGAGCAAAAAGTAAAGAAAGAAAACAAGCAAGGGGAGCGACAAGAGAGAGCATCGATCGGTCGACGCCGCACCCACACCCACACCCACGACACAAAGCAAATCAAATCAACTAACTATAGATGCACCCCGGCAGCTGTCATGGTTTATATCCTGTTGCCATTCCCCCGCCCCTGCTGGTGTTGCTGCATGTGCTGTTGCCTCATCTCATGCTCCATGGCGCTGATGCGCAAAGCCAGCTGCAGCTCCTCATCGTCCTCAGAGGCCTGGTCGGCCTCACGCGGCCGGGGGGGCGGCAACCTCACTGTCTCTGTCGCTCGCGTGTCCTCCCAAACTGCGGGCACTGGCGCCGGTGGGGGGGCCACGGAGGTCTGTGAGTGCGTCTGGGGGGCGTAGGGGGGCGGCAGGGGATACCCCGTGACGACAGCTGGGGTCTGGCTGCTGCTGCGGGCGGCTTCCTGCAGCTCAGCCTCCTGCAATCGATGCAGCCACACACACAAACACGTGACCATCCGTGTCGTGTGTGTCAGTTCTGTGTCCCTCCGTACCGAAAGCGACGCGGCGAGAGCGATCCGTAGCTCTTCCTCCTCCCGCCTTTGGTTCTCCACCATGATCCTGATCTGCTCCCTCTCGTCCAGCTGCAGCGATATGCCCTCCGTGTCGCTCTGCAAGCTCGACCGCCGGCTGGACCGCCGGCTGCCGCGACTAGACGAGTTGGCGGCCTGCTGCAGCCGCTGCAGCTCCCGGCGCCGTTTGATGCGCCGCCGCCTGACGCCCCAGCAGCAGCAGGTGGTGGTGAGCAGGACAAAGATGCCCGCACAGACAATGCCGATGATAACGGGCTCTGAAACGCACATATATCACGTCACGCGACACACTTGGTTGGTGGGGTAGGGGGAGGGGGAGGGACAAGGAGGGGAGGGCTTACGTGTGAAGAAACCATCGGGGCATCTGGTCATGCGTGTCCAGATCTCCTCGATGGAGTTGGAGTCGCCGTCGGTCAGCAGGCACTCATTCTCACACGGCTTCCCGCCACGGAGCTTCCGGCACTCCTGTGACACACACCAGTCGACACACCACATCACACACAGCAAACATGTTCGCATCATGCTCATGGTTCCGTCCGTCAAGGTGCTTGTCTGTCAGCTCAGCTCAGCTCAGCTCACCGCCTCGACTTCTTCGTAAAGGTCCCAGAATGAGCTGTTGTGGCCCTTGATGGAGTTGTGCACCAGCTCGTGCAGCACCGTGCCGATCACCTGCTCGTACGGCACGAAATCATCGTTGTTGTAGCGAACGCGGATCTGATCGATTGCCACACACACCACATGAGCAGACAGACAGACGTGTGGTGTGATGAGAGGTCTGCTGACTGTCTGTCTGTCTGTCTGTGTGAGGTCGATGGATGGCGCACCTTGACTTCCTGTCCGCGGTTGATGTTGAGGCCGAGCAGCTCCTTCACGTCGGGTTTGAACTCTCGCATCAGCTCCACCTGCCACCGCCGCTTGCACATTATGGGACGAACCTGACACACACACACACAGACACATAATCTCACGAACCGACCGAAAGTTTCCCTCCTCTCCCTCTCTGTCACAGCTTGTGTGTGTGTCCCCAGCCCTCTCCCCCCGCCCCTCTGCTCGTGTGTGTGCTCAGTGCTCACCAGATCGCTCGCGTCTTGCAGCATCCGCTTGGCCTTGCCGTCGTTCTTGTACCCAGCCGTCCTGATCTCCTTGACACGGTACGTGTAGACGTCACACAGGCCGTCCACACCGTCCTCCTGACGCACATAGACGGTCTCGCCGCCACCTCCAGGGTCAACCACGCCATCTAACCGCTGCGCCAGACCACCGCCGGCAAACAGAAGCGTCAACACGACCATCACGCACACTCCATTGAGCAAAGCAAGATGAGGGCCTCTCCGGCTGCTGTGGCGGGCGGGAGGAGGGGCAAAACAGAGGTGGGAGGGTCGGGAGGGGGAAGGTGGAGGGGGAGGGGCCGATTCGGCCTCCTCGCACCCCTCCATCCGACAAACACGCGTAGCTCTCTCCATCACCAGCACAGGCGACGGGAAAACCACACAGAAGGAAAACACCCTGTAGTGCTGCGTTTTACAGGCCCTTGCCCTTCCCTCTGTCTTCGAAACCCTTAGCCCTACAAACCCTGCGCGCTTTGTATCTATCCCAGGACGACCACTCCCGCCAAAGCCGCCACCCAGCTGTCTACACGCGGAGCTGCCACACTCTTCTGTAAGGTAGACCAACACAAATTGACATGCACGGTTCTCTCTCATCGTGCACGCGGCATATATCTGGTCACACAACATGTGTGTGTACGCTGCAGGCCACGTACGCACGTCGAGAGGCCATCCATCGTGAGTGAGTGACTGAGTGAGTGAATGGCATCTCCGTCGAGCGCCAGCAGTCTAGCCAGCAGTCCGGCTGCTGATGCATCGTCACCCTCTCAAGCGCCACCCTCTCCCCCTCACCGGCAGCACGAGATCATCCAGAACCTCCGCAGGCAGCTGTACTCGCCGAACTGTAGCTCGGCCACCCGCACTCTCTCGTACACCATTGAACGCCGCATCGCCACTCCCTCCTGGGTCACAGCATTTCTCCGCGAGGGAGCCGACCCCAACGCAGAGATTCGCTTTCAGCCACCCGTTCGTGAGCATGAACCGCTGAGCTACGACCTGCTCTCGATCGCAATCGACGACCAGACCGGCTGTGCGGCGGTGGATTTCGAATCGATGTCTGCTGACGGCCAGCCGCCGCGGTCTCGCCTGTCGCTGCCCACCTGGGAGAGCCGGCAGAGGCAGCGGGAGATCCTCGAGGCCCTCATCGCCGGAGGGGCCGACCTGGACTGCTCGTGGTTTCGGTGCGAGGGCGGCTTCCCATACGAGGCGGGCATGAACACGAGGCCCATCCGCGAGGCCGTGGCCAACGCGAACCTGACGGCACTGGAGGTGCTGCTGCGGCATGGCGTGCGCGTGCGCGGCCTGTGCATCATCTTCCCGCCCCGATTGTGGAACGGCGCGACGCCGACGCCCCAATATGAGAGGGCCCTGCTCGAGGTGTATCGGCGCCTGCTGCAGCGCGACTCGACGCTGGCCAGCGAGCGGGTGCCGGAGTCAAGACCTCCTTCGGTGAGTTGAGTGAGGGGCAGGGCAAAGGAGGCACATGCAGGAGGCTGTGTGTCATTGTCCACTCTCTCAGGAGCAGGACTCCAGCTACGAGCTCGACCCGCTGAGCTTCTACGAGGGCGGGCCGTCAGAGGTCGGCAACAGCGCCGTCCACCACCTCGTCGAAACCGCCCAATTCTCGCGAAGATCCGTGTTCGAGTACATCGAGATCCTCACGGCCATTGACGCGTCCATCCTCACCCAGCCCAACCAAGACGGCCTCCAGCCGCTGCTGCTAGCGACTGCCGTGGGGCACGACAATCCTCGAATTGCAGTGTGCTCGACGGGGGAGGAAGCCGCCAGTATGGTGGACGAAAACCCACACAGCCCCAACATCCACGCAATCGAGTGCATCTGTCGGAAGGTCCGGCCGGCAGATGTCGACAATGACGAAGACGGGACCTGCAGCCCAGCGCTGGAGATGGCCCTGCAGACGCTCGGCGCCCTCGAATCGCCGACGCCCACGCGCACGCCGCCAGGGTCCTGGGCGTGGGCGTCCTGCCTCCGCCTCGCCGCCGCTCGACGCACAACACCCACCACCGCCACCAACACAACAGCAGCAGCAGCAGCAACAGCTTCCGGTAGGGGGAGCGAGGAGAGCATCAACGAGTGGAGGCAGGCCGTCAGAACGCTGCTGCGCTGGGGCACGGCTGCTGTACGAGAGAAGATTTCCGGAACACCCCCGCGTCCTCGCCGACCGTGAGTACATGGCCGTGCTCAATGAGCTACCCAATGAGGTGATGGCTGCCGTCAATGGAGCTTTGAGGCCGCACAGAGAGCTGGCTGCCCACCTGAGCCACCTACTGCCCCTCGCCCCCCACAGCGACGGCGAAGACCCCGCGCCGTCCCGCCTCGCACTGGGGGATGGCGAGGGGGCCTTGATGGGCTGGCACATCGCCGCCCTCTGCTTCGACCAGCACAAGGCAGCCACGGACATTAAGAGGACGATCAACCTCAGCCACCAGACCACATTCGGCAGACGCATCCACTCGGCCGTGGAGCACTTTGTTATGAGTGCCGCGCTCAAGACGGAGAGCAACAGGCAGGTGGTGGGGGGGATGGCCGACGTGGGCGGGGCGACGGTACGGGTGCCGCTGCAGTGCTTCCAAGTGGTGGATGGCGTCAAGGGGCGAGTGCTGGGGCTACGTGAGGTCGTGCACAAGGCACGGATGGACGAGGCGGTCGCACGTGGTGGCCTGCAGGGCCTCCAGAAGGGCTTCAATCAGCACCTGGTCAGTCGCTCAGCGATCGAAATCGATAAAATCGTGCATGTGTGTGTGTGTGTGTCAGGGCGACACTGACTGCCATTTCGCGTGGCCTGAGTTGGGATATGTCAACGGGGACGGCAGCTTCCAGCCCCTGCACCTAGAAGAGTAGAGCCGAAACAAGTCAGAGAGACAGGCTCCTGTGCGCTGCGCATCGTCCCCACGGCCACCACCAAATCAAGGAGACAGACAGACAGAGAGAGAGTGAGAGAGAGTGCCAGCACAAATTAGGACACACAAACATGCACACACCCACCCATCTCTCTCTGTATGGATGTGTGTGTGTCTATGTGTGAGTGTGGTGGATATATGCTCACTCACCCACCGTTGCCTGCTGTCTGTCTGTAACTAACGGCGTATGTGAATGTGAATGTGTGTGAATGTCTGTCTGCGGCATGCATGCATGTGTACTGCTCTGTCTGTCTGTGGTGTGCTGTCTGTGCATTTGGCTTATGTATGCCTCCGTTAGTTGCCGACCGCGGTTTCCGCTGTGGTGTGTGTGCTTAGTTGATTGTCAATGATCGGACAGACAGTGAGTGGATCTGTGCGTGTGGGGTGGGTATGTATGCCTCTGTCTGAAAGAAGTGACGTGCCTGCCACGCTGCATTGCCACTCTGGAATGGCATCTCATTCAGTCGACCGACCAGCAGAGGCTCAAGCACGGGAGAGAGAGGGTCATGGTATCCATGGTCAGTCAGAGTATCTCCCCTCACCCACCTTGCCACACACACACAGGGTGGTGCGCACCCAGCCGCTAAGCTACAGCTCCTTACTACAAGAGCCTCCCTCCCTCCTTGTCAGTCCCCCGGGCGCCCCTCTACATCGATCGACCAGCCCACCCACCTGCCGTCGATAAAGGACCGCGCAGCACATGTACCCATCAATTCAATCACACGCGCGACGATACAAAAAACACACACGCACACACGTGCAGGCAGACAGACGGACAGACAGGTAAGACACACACAGAGAGAGTGAGTGTGAGAAGAGAGAGAGCCAGCACTGAACCAACAAGGGGCGTCCGTCTGTGTGTATGTCTGTCAGTGACCGAGCTAGCTGTTACATTGGCCCACCCCCTCGCTCGCCCTCCGCCCCCCTACTGCTGCTGCTGCTGCTGCTGCTGCGGGTACTGGTATGCGATTGCGTTCTGAATTTCCATGTCGTTGAGGTTTTCCTCGACCAGGTTGAGGAGGTTGTTGCCCTCCGCCACCGTGCCCTCCTGCGACGCCTCGCCCATGATGGCCTCAGCGCGCAACACCACCTGCACACACAGGCGCATGCCATGGCTGTCCCCTGCCGTCTGTGTGTATGCGTGTGTGTGTGTGTAACTGACGTGTTTGAGCTGCATCTGGTCGTTCCAGGTCTCGTGCTTGGACTGGATCTTGAACCAATACAACTGCAGGGCAGAGCAGAGAGAGTGTGGGCAGGTGTCTGTCTGCCTGCGTGTGTGTGTGCGCGCATCGACTGATTGATCACATGTATACCTTCTTGTCGTCGTGCTCTTCCTTGACGGCTGCGATGTAGCCCTGGGCGTCCTCCTCCGACAGCTGGTCCAGCTGAGCGGCTATGTCGGCCGCCTCCACACCCCCCATAAACACCTGATCAGCGGAGCACCACCATATGCAGCACAGCACCAGGACCACACACACACACGTGTGTGGTGCCTCCCTCCCTCCCGCCTTTGTGTCGTGTGCTGTGTGTGAGTCGGTCGGTTGACTCGACTCACTCTTGCGACTTCGTCGAATGCCGAGACGGCCAGGCTGCCGGTGTGGTCGCGAATCTCAGACTTGAGGATGTATCTACCAACCACAGGGACACACCGTCCAGACGCACCACCACAACCGCGTCAGTCACACAGTCCTATATCCACACACAGCGACCGACCGACCGACCGACCTATAGGTGCACTCGGGAATGTGTTGGCCGTCCTTGTTGCGTACGAAGCCGCCCCCGCCACTGGGGTCAGGCTCCACCTTGCAGTGGTCCTTCGGATCCGCCCTGCAGCCAGTCAGTCCACGACGGACACCAGGACCACACACGCCGAGAGAGAGGGTGCTGTTGGTTAAAGTCATTGATCTGTGTGTGTCGCGGTGGGGGTGGGGAAAGGAGTGTGTGGTTTGAATGAGTCACGTGTAGTAGATGTTGCCTCTCTCGCGCTTGTCGATTTCGAAGAGGTGGGCGGCGATGGTCGAGACGGTCTTCTCATTCTCGCCCATGCCCATGGTCTGGCAGGCCAACCGGTGCTCCTCGATCGTCTGGCCGACACACACCACACACCATCCACACGTACCCACGGTGCTGGTGGTGATGGTGATGGCCGGTGAGTAGCAGGCATCTCTCTCCGTCTCTCTCTCTCTCTCTCTCTCTCTCCGGCTGCTGACCTTTATGAGTGGCCATGAGCCCCCGCCCATCCCGCGCTGCGCACTGAGCCGAATAATGGGCTGCGCCGCGCCGCCCTGACACACACAGACACACACACACACACGAGTGTATTGGGCCGCTTCGACGGTCAGATGGGGTGCGTGCTGTGCTTACCGATTGATGGTACCACTGGTAGAGTGCGTTGGCCTCAGTGCACTGCGGGTGGATCTCCATCTTGTTGGCCGACAGCGAGGTGCTGTCGTTGAAGCGGCTGATGCGGGCACCTGACCGACCGATCGATGGATGGATCGATCGACCCACCGACAGACAGGTCTGTGTGTGTGTGTGAGCTGCGTGTGTGTGACCTTTGAGCGCTATGACCGGGTTGCCGTCGAACACACTGTCGTTCTGCGTGGCCTGCACACAACAGATGGATGGATGGATGGATCAGAGCGCCGTGTGTTGTGTGTTGTGTGTTGTGTGTGTGTCCGCACATTCTCGGCCCACAGCGTGACCTTGACCTCCACCCCGCTTTGGTCGACAACAGTCAGGTCGCGCTTGTTGACGTCGCGGGGAGGGTCCTGCCAGACACCACACCACATAACACACCACACCACACCAAACCACACCCTTGCACACCCCCCTCCCTCCCCTCGCCCCAATCTCACCGATCGCGTCTTGATCTGCATAGCTTGGTCGTAAGAGTGTATGACGCCGATGACGTCGATGTTGGCGTTTTCTGCGAGCTGCTCGAGCTGGTCGATGGGCTTGAACTCGTACTGCTGCGTCGGAAGGTGGGGGTCGTCATCCACGGGCTCGATGCTCGCCCACTCGTCAACTGCACTCACACACACACACACACACATATCCATCCATCCATCGGTGCAAGCACGCTTTGCGCAGCACACGGCGGGTGGCTCTGCTCTGCTGTGCTAGGCTCGGCTACATGTGATTTCGTATCGGTGTGTGGTTTTGTTGAACTGCGGGTTGGCGAGCTTGACGAGGCCACGAGAGAACTTGTACACCTGCCACACACAGACAGACACACAGACGGAGGAGGGGAGGGAGGGAGGGAGGTGAAAGGCCTGCCTGGCTGCCGCCCTCTGTCTGTCTGTCTGTGTGTGTGGTGTGGTCACCCACCCCGTTCTCCTGCACAATGGGGTCGAACGTCGTCGCCGCGTTGTTGAAGAAGGTCGCCTCAATCTCACCCTGTGTGTGGAGGAGGTGTGCGCACACAAAAGTCAGGTCACATGACGGAGGGAGGCATGGATGGCATCACGTGTGCGTGTGTGTGTGTGTGTGTGTGTGGGCCCCGACCGACCGATTGGTCGCAGATGGTGATCTTCATGTACTTGCCCCCACCGCTCTTGAAGTCCCGCACAGGGCGCCTGCACCCACCCATGACACGAACGAACAAGACGCCGGTCTCTCTGTCCGTCGGTCTGTCTGCCCGTCCGTCCGTCCGTCCGTCCGTCCGTCCGTCCGTCCGTCCGTCCGTCCGTCCCATCCCCTTCGCCCATTCCCCCTTCTCGCCTCACTTGTCAGCGACTCGCGCTTTGACAGCCCAGTTGCGCACATTCGCGTCGAGGTCCCGGATGGGCATCTCACTGACACACACACACACACACACACACACACACCACACCACACCACATCACAGGCCATCTCCCTCCCCTCCCCCCTATGTGTGGGGTCATCTGACCGTGTGCTTCCTCCGCTGGTTCGGCGTCCTCTCATGGCCGCGCCGCCCCGCCCGCCGCCACGCATTCCAGGAGCCGCAGCGGCCGCAGGCGACATATGCATCCCGCCACCACGACCACCACCACGACCACCACCACGACCACCACCACGACCACCGCCCCTGTCCAGCAGCAGACAACAAGCAGCAGACAACAGGAGATTCATTGGTATGTATTCATCGGCTGGACGCTATGGACAGACAGACAGGTCATCGTGCTGCCGCGCCGCGTGCATGAGTGTGGTTGCTCGGTGCGGGTGCGCGTGTCTGCGTGCGTGATGGCTGTCTTGTCGGTCTGGTGCAGCTAGCTTACGCATAGGGATTGACTCCGCCTCGGGCTGCCATGATAATGAACCTCACGTCAGCTGATCAGAAAGCTCACTACCTATCCCTAAGGAGGAATCTTGCTTCCTCGCGCGAGCTCTTCTCCTTCGAGCTCGCCAAATCGGAGGCGATGGGAAAAGTTAAGTGCGAAAGCCAGAGGGCGGCAGCACGACAAGCGGAATCGTCGGCCCTATAAGATCCAGCAGGCGGCACACAGGGATGGATGAGGCGGAGAGTGAGTTCATGGCCTTCATGCGGCAGAAGCTCGAGGAGCTCGGCATCGACGGCGACGTATACGCCGGTGCGCAGTGGTGCACAAACAAAGCACTCAGACAGACACGCAAACCCAAAGATGGAAACACAACACGATGGCTGGCGGCACACTCTGTGGAATGGTCTGTCTGTCTGTGTGTCAGAGTATGTGTTGGGCATTGTGAAGGATGACTCATTGGATGACGACGAGAAGCTCGAGGCCGTCCAGGGCAGCCTGCTCGCAGTGCTGGAGGACGACTCAAAGGAGGCCCTCCTCCACTCCATCGCCCGCGACGCCTTCGACCGCTGGCGTGACCTCGACGCCAAGCAGCGGGCCAAAGCCACCGAGACCAAGCACAGCAGACTGGTGGACGCCATCAAGGCGTCCTCCGCAGCTGAGGGGGAGGATAGGCAGCAGTCGTCGAATGGCCGGCGTGGGGATGAGGACGGCGGGCATGGCGGTGGTGAGATTGACGATGAGGATGAGGAGGAGCGTCGGCTGAAGAAGAGTGTGATGGAGCAGTATGGCATGGAAGTCAGCGAACGCGTCGAGAGGGGCGAAAATGGTCCGTGGGCAGGGAGGGAGGGAGAAAAGGATAGATAGCGTCCATCCGTTGATGGACGGATGGGTGTGTGGTTGGCCTTGTTGTTAATGTGGTGGGTGGGTATGTATGTATTTATGTGTTTGTGCAGGCGAGATTTACACGACTCAGGGCCTGACACGGCGGGGTGAGAATGCCGGTGACGACGGGCTGCTGCGCAACGACAACAAAGAACGGGTGGGTGGGTCAGACGGTCGGGTGAGTGGGTAAGAAAGACGGCCAGCGGCCCCTTCTGACACACACTGTCTGTCTGCGGTGCTGCATGCTGCCGGTTGATGTGATCGGTCCACGTCTTCATGTCTTCAGGTCAAGGCGGTCGAACAGATGCAGCGCGACGCCGCCAAGCAAGCTCACGAGAAGTGAGGAGTGACAATTGACGTGGCAGGGGGGGGG